CACACACACACACACACACACACACACACACATACACACACACACACACACACACACAAACACGCGCACACAAACACACACATGTGCGCAGGATCTCTCTGGCGAACGATGTGTCTGAGACCGGCTCACAAGGCGCAGCAGTCCATGTACATGGCATATTCCAAGGGCGAGCGTGACATAGAAAAAGTGGATTGAGGCTGTGATTGGCGATTATGTCACGGGCACATCTCTGCAGGATGTGCTCAAGTCAGGCGATGTGCTGTGCCAGATTATGAACAAGATCTCCCCAAAATCCATTCGCTCCTACCACCACGAGCCCACCCTCGCCTTCAAGCAGGTGCGTCATGTGTATGCGTGTGCGTGAAATATCTCGTGCTTTTGTTTCTTTGCACACCTTGTTCTTGCTCTTGTGCCTCTTGTTACATTATGCTGTGTTCTTGCGCGACCCCGCCGTGCATGCATCCATTTACGTTTGTTCCCGAAACACCACATCACGTCCGTGGCTCTGTGTGTGCAGATGGAGAACATTGGCTATTTCCTGCAGGCTGCAAAGCAGTATGGCCTCCCAGACTCTGATCTCTTTATCACAATTGACTTGTTTGAGGGCCGCAACATGAAGCAGGTGCGTGTGTCTGTCTGTCTCGCCGCTTGTCTGCCTCTGTCCTCATGTTCTGTCTGTCTGTATGTCTATCTGTCTGTCTGTCTGACCGCTTGTCTGCCTATGTCCTCATGTCCTGTCTGTCTGTCTGTCTGTCTATCTCTGTCTGTCTGTCTATCTCTGTGTGTCCGTCCGCTTGTTTTGCGTTCTGCCCACATCGCCACTCCACACCACCACCTTTATCACACTCCACCTCACTCCACTCCACTCAACCCCTCTCACTCCCCTCAACTGGCAGGTGGTCATTTGCCTTGCTGCGCTGAAGAAGCTTGCGGAGTCTCGCGGCTTCCGCCTTTAACCTTCCCCATCATCAGCTTGCTTCTGCTCTCATTGCTGGTCTTCTGTGTTCGGTGTGTGTATTTGTTCTGTCCATCTTTTCCCTTCTGTCCATCTTTTCCCTTCTCGTTCCTTCCTCCCCACCCTCGTTGTTGTTTGTTTTGTTATTGCATTACACCACCTTGCACGCCCTGCCTGCCTGACTGTCTTGTTCTCGTCTTCCCTTCTTCTTTTGCTTGTCTCCCCACACAACAACAACAGCAACAGCAACAAGCACCTCCCTCTCCTTGCACTGCCACCCGTTTTTTTGACGTTGTGGTCCTTCCTCCTGCTTGCGTTGCGCGAGCGCCGAATTTTGGTTCAAAATATACACGAAATTTCTTGAAAACGGTCGGGCCTGGCGCGAAAATCACACACACAACTCTCAACACCCAAACCACCGACCATTGATTGATGTGATTTCTTCCCTCCCACCTTCACTCCCTCTCTTGGCTGATGTTTAATGGACATCAAACGGTGATCAGAGACACCGCCTGCTGCAGTGCGCATCGGTACGCAAGCAAGCAACCCAGCAAACAAAGGTTGGTTGGCGATTGTGCCGTCTCGTGTTGTTGCGTTGCGTGACATGACCTCAAAAGTGGCCACGACAGCTCCTGTTGCTTCCTTCCCCTTTGCTTGCTTGCCGTTTCCACCCACCCCACCCACTCAACGAACAAACATACATCAAATTGTTGTTTGTACCCGCACCCACATCCCCACATCCATCATCACCGCCGCTGTCTACTGTGGGGGCCCGCAACATCACACATTATTTCCTTGCCGAAGTGTGTGCCCTTGCTGGATAACTCTTGCTTGGCTGCCGCTTATTGTCGTCCTCCCTCTTGACACCTCACCAACGCGATCGAGCATCCATCGTCCCTTGCCCCCCTCCCATCACCCCTCCCCAACGTCACCTCCCTTCACTTCACTTCACTTCACCTCATCCCATCTTCACCTCCTTTCTCACCTCACCTCACCTCACCTCATCCTTCTCCCATCTTTGTTCGCGATCCACCCACCCACGTGCGTGCATTCACAAGCAGCAACACTCCTCGAAGGACTCAGGACCGCCTTCGCGCGTGCCCATTGATAACGGAAACGTGTCATTCTGGCACGACTCAGAAAGCTGTTCCACGCAGCAGCTGTGCTGATAACGCCAGCCGAGCACAGCAACACTGAGCAAGAAAAGACAGCAATACCCGCAGGCAACATCCGGCGTTCGTCTTCCTCGCTGATGACGACGATGCCGCTCCACGCCCTGCGGCACGATCGTGCGAGGACCCAGCGCCGTCGCGAGGCAGCCCAACACACTGCCATGGCGGCGGTGGTGGTCGCCACGTTGTGCCTCCTTGCGTTTGCATGCACGCACGCATCCGCGCAGGTGCAAACTACCGTCTGTGGCAGCACCGAATGCACAGAGACGGAGTTTTGCCAGGACGACGCCAGCTGCTCCCCATGCACGGATTGCTTCACCAACGGCAACGTCGGCGACATTTACCGCACACCCTGCCTCGTGTCGTGCACCTCCTCCTCGTGCCCGTGCTCGGAGGAGGAGACATGCAGTTTCGACACAAACGAGTGCTTGTCGTGCGATCCCTGCATCAACGACCCGCTCTTCCCTTACCCGAGCTACTGCGAGGATAGCCCCTGCTTCCGCTCCGAAAGCTTTGGCCAGATGATCTGCCCTGATGACGGCTCTGATCCTGCGCAGGGCGAACCCTACTTTGTCGACGGCGACAGTGAGTACTACGTGGTTGTGTAGCGTGCGTGTCAGCTTGTGTGTGTGTATGTATGTATGTATGTATGTATGTATGTATGTATGTATGTACGTATGTATGTATGTATGTATGTATGTATGTATGTGTGTGTGTATGTATGTATGTATGTCTGCATGTCCGTCTGTCTGCCTGTCTGTGTGTCTGTATGTGTGCATGTATGTACGCACGCATGAGTGTATGCATGTGTGCGCGTCCATGCATCTGGCACCCGCATCACGACTGCATCCATGCATTGCATCACTCCACCCACGCACGTGTCACCCTGAATCTCCCCTCACATGTCCACCCGTCCCCCCCCCCTGCCACAAACACAGCCCTGTCGTTTCATCAGGCAATCGAGATGGCCAACAGCAACTGCGACCACAACGAGATTGTGCTGCAGCAGGAGCTGATTGAGTTTGAGTCGTCCTTCCCACCCATCACCTCCCCCGTCACCATCCGCGCAGAGTCCCAGACGCGCCTCATCATGTACGCCAGCTCGCAGTACGACGGCTTTCGCGTCTTCACGGGGCCCTTCACCCTCACGGGAATCGTCATGGAAGGATTCACAGACGCGGTCGTCACATACACCCCGCGCACCACCATCGAAAGCGTGCTGATGCAGGACTGCGACGAGGGCGTGCACATCACCAACCTTGCGTCAGGCGCGGTCCTGCGTGACGTGGACGTCTATCGCCCTTCCCGCGGTGTCTACGTGTCGGGCGGCTTCCACACGCTCGAGCGCGTGCGCGTGTACGATTCGTTCGGCGACGGCATCGTCGTACACAACGCGACGTACGTCACCCTGTCCGACTGCCAGGCCGTGGGCTGTGATGGCAACGGTCTCGCTGGCTCCAACACCATCCAGCTCACCGTCACCGGCGGCGTGTTTGGAGAGCCAGCGAACGTCTCCCCTCCCACAGAGGTGCCACCCTCAACAGGCGACGCAACCACCACCACCACAACGACGACGACGACAACAACAACAACAACAACAGCGGGGCCTCCAACCTCCTCCCCTGCCAGCGGCTCCACGCCCACGCAAACAACGACAACCCGCACGACAACCACGTCAACAACAACAACGACAACGGCAGCTCCCAGCGGTGGCGGCAACGCGCAGTCTGGCATCTCGCTCACCTACACGTACCGCGCCGTTATCCAGGGCGCCTCGTTCCACTCCAACGCACAGGCGGGCATCAGCGTGGGCGCCGGCTGTGGTGACGTGTCCGTGTACACGTGCGTGTTTGGTGACGACACCAACTTCAACGGCGTCCACAACATGGCTGTGGAGGACTCGCACGACATCACCATTGGAGGCATTGGCCCCCTGGGCAACACATTCAACGGCAACGCCCTGTACATGCAGGCGCACCTGTACCTGGCCCGCTCTCGCATGATCACCGTCTACAACAACGCCTTCACCTCCACCGCCACCGCTGGCGTTGCGGGGCAGACGGGCCAGCAGACGTCTACCTTCATCGGCATCAGCATCAGCGAGTGCGAGAACGTGGACATGGGCAACGCAGCAGACGCCGCCCTGCCCACCGTGCCGTACCCGCGCGCCAACGTGCTCTCAGACACGCTCTGCGCTGCGGAGGTGGCCGTGTCGTCATCCAAGACGGTGTCCATCGCAGCCAACTACATTGGCCTCGGCATCCTGCCAGAGACGGGCGAGCGTACACGGCGCTCCTTCGACGGCTCCACGTACACCACCGCCGAAGAAGTGGTGCGCATCTCAGACACAACCACCTTCACCGTCACCTTCAACGTCATCTCTGCGGTGGAGGCAACGGCGCTCCTGCGCCTGCAGAACTCGTTTGTCGGCGCCGTCAGAGACAACACCATCGTGGGCGCTGGCATGGCCGCGGACTTGCCTGCCCCCACCACGGAGTCGCAGGTGGGCGTGATGCGCGGTGTGGACGTCACTGGCGGCGTTGCCGACATCGTCCTGAGTGGCGGCAACGTCATTGCTGCGAACACGGGCGTTGTTGTCGACTGCTACTTCCAGTACGTGGCGAGCCTGGAGTTGCCGGATGACACCTCTGTCCGCGTGTATGGCAGCAGCATCTGCGTTGACACGGACGGCATCACCGCCATCTCCGGCTGCGCCATTGGCGTGAACGTCACCCAGAACGTGGACGACGCGCTGGTGGGCGTGGGGAGCGAGGCGCCAAACCTCGTGTATGGGCTCGACGTTGCCGTCCTCACCTCTGGCCGCGCCGTGATCGAGAACAACTACGTTGGCGTGAGTGTCGACGGCGATGCAACCTTGGTGTCGGACAACACTGCCGGGTTCCGCCGCCGCCGTAATGCCCTCGCCACGTCCTTCGACTTCAACGGCAGCGAGAGCCTGGCCCAGTCCACGCACGGCGGCGCTGTTGGCATCCACATGGACGCGTCGGGTGGCGGCGACGGCGCCTACCTCTTTGGCAACGTCATTGCCGGCTTTGGGGTTGCGGGCATCCGTCTCAGCTTCCTCTCCTACCCGTACTTCTTTGGCATCAGCAACAACCTCATCGGTACAGACGTCTCGGGTGCCAACGCCCTGCCCAACTGGGACGGCATTCGCGTCGACAACGGCACGCAAGGCCTCGGCATCAAGGGCTACAACGTCATCAGCGGCAATGCCCGGTACGGCGTGTACATGGAGAGCGTGCAGTTCGTCTCTGTGCAAGGCAGCGCCATTGGCCTCGCCGCTGACGGGCGACGTGAGCTGCCGAACCAAGTTGCCGGCGTGCACGTCGTTGACTCGAGCAGCATCGAGATTGGCGAGCCAGACTACCCCCTCGGCACCAGCGACAGCGGCGTGCATGTGCCGTCGCCCGACTACCCGGCCGCTGCCGCCGTGTTCCCGTTCCCCGTCGGCAACGCCATTGCAGCCAACGGGGGCGAGGGCGTCAGCTTCCTCCGCTGCGCCAGCTGTCGCGTGCAGCACAACTTCATTGGGCTTGGCGTGAGCCTGAGCAAGCTGACCCTCACCTCGCGCGGCAACCAGGGCGGCGGCGTGCTCCTGGTGGACTCCAACGACGCCGTGGTGCTCAACAACACCATCGCCGACAACAACATGTTTGGCGTGAGTGTGCAGCACTCCAACAACACGGCGTTTGCTGGCAACCGCATTGGCACCGACGCCTCTGGTGACCTGCGTGCCGGCAACAAGGGCAACGGCGTGGAGCTTGCAGACTGCGCGGGCGTCGTGTTTGAGCACGCGTACCAGCGCTACACGCAGGACGGCAGGACGAATGTCACCGTCAACGTCGTCTCCGGCAACGAACAGGCTGGTGTTGTGGACCGCTGCGTGGGCACCAAGTTCAGGGCGGGCCACTTTGGCATCAACTTGGAAGGCACGCGCCGCATCCCAAACAGAGGCAGCGGCATTGTGCTCATGGGTGCAACCGGCACCACCATCGGAACCCTTGCCGGCGAGAGCTCGGGCAGCACCAGCGGCGAATACTACTACGAGGAGTACTACTATTACGAGGGCAATTACCAGACGGGCGGTGGGACCTACTCCGGTGGCGCGCCGTCTGGTGGGCAGCGAAGTGTGCTTGCAGCCAGCGGCAACAACGAGCACGGCATCCTCATGCGCTCTGCGTCACAGGTGAACGTTGGCGAAGCGCTGATTGGTCTGGGTGCAGATGGCACGACACGCATCGGCAACAGGAAGGCGGGTATCAAGCTGCAGTTGTGCAGTAAAATCTCGCTCGGGAGCGTCAGCTCTGACGTCACAAACCCGCTTCCAACCACCACCACCTCATCGACAACGATCGCAACAACAACAACGATCGCAACAACAACGACAACGTACTCCCCGCCAATCAACCCTCGCCCAACCACAGCCACCAGCACGACGACCACTTCCACCGTTGCACCCCTCCGGCGCCGTCGTAGCAACGATGAACAAGACCAAGAACAACTGCAGCAACAAGATGACGCTGCAAGTGCCGTCGCCCCGGCTGCTGCCGCTGCTCGTGTTGAGGGAGACGAGAGTGACATTGTTGTTGAGGATTCAAGTTCGCTTGCAGACACGTTCACACACGTGCGCGAGCGGCGTGATCTGGGCTTTGAAGGGCTGCTCATCATCGGCGCGAATGACCAGGATGGCATTGATGTGGACAACAGCGACACGGTGTTCATCGTGGGTGTGCAGATTGGCCTGTCGGATAACGTGCCTGCAGGAAACGGCGAGAACGGCATCCGCGTCCGTCCCGGCTCACAGGTGACGGTTGGCGGCGACAGCACCGTGCTGGTGGTGCTGATTGCGAACAACGGGGAGTACGGCCTGCTGATTGAGGAGAACGCGCAGGCGCTGTACCGCTCCGTTGGGTTTCTCAACAACGGCGACGGCACCGTGCAGACCCTCGGCCAGCAGCAGGAGGACCGGCCCACCATCCAGATTGGCACCTTTGAGGCGACGCGCGCGCAGTCGCTCATCTCCGTGCCGAGCGGCGGCGTGTATGTGATCCAGGTGTTTGCTGCGAGCCAGTGCCTGGTGCGCTCGAGCATGGGCCAGGCGGAGCGGCTCATCACCACCATCCTGGAGACGTTTCCGTCGGCAGTGTCCCGGCAGCTGACGCAGCTGACCTGGTCCCGTGCCCAGGGGGAGGTGATGGATGGGGAGGTGATCACCGCCACCGTGGCGTCCTTCGATGGCTCCGTCACGTCGGAGTTTGCCAATTGCCGCGGGCCCTCCCGCAATTTGCGCCTGTGTGCGCTGTGCGTGTGCTACGACACGACAGCAGACTGCCGCGGCCAGCTCTCGTTCCTGCCAACCGGTGTGCAGAACCCCAACATCACGGAGCTTCTCCTCGACAACAACATGGACCTCTCTGCGGTCCCGGACTTTGTTTTTTCAGACTTGCCCAACCTGGAGACGCTGAGCCTGGCGAACCTGCCGAGCCTTGACTTTGACGAGGACCTCTTGGCCCGCATTTCGGGCCTATCGACGCTGCAGTCGCTCAACCTGTCCTCCAACGGCATTTCAACGCTCAACGGCTTCACCATCCCGCCGTCTCTCGAGCGCATCGACCTGAGCGACAACCGGTTCACAACCAACCCGCTCACCTTTGGCGATGACACGGTGCTGGAGCAGCTGTTGCTGGACTCCAACCTCTTTGCCGTCCTGAACACCGACGAGTTCTTTGGCGCAACGGCCCTGACGGGACTGTCCATCCGCAGGAACATCATTGCCCTGGTGGAGTCTGGCGCCTTCAACGGCCTCGAGTCCCTCCAAGTCTTGGATGTGAGCCAGAACCTCATCACAAACGTCACATATGCACCCGACATTCTTCGCGGCCTCAACAGCCTGACCGCGATCAACTGGTTCGGCGACATGTGCCCGCAAGGTTACGTCAACGCGTTCAGCTCTGGTGGCAGCATCTGTCTGCCGTGTCCGCAGGGCACCTATGTGGACGCTGGCTTAGGTAGCCTGCTCGACTGCACGCCCTGTGCTGCGGGTCAGGTCGACGACGACCGCGATGCCGTTACGCCGTGCGTGGCCTGCCCCGTCGACACGTTCACGCAGCCGGGCAGCTTTGGGTCGTGCAACAGCTGCGCGATTGACGAGCTGGACGAGGACCAAGACCCGTCCACCCCGTGCATCCGCTGCCAGCCAGGCACGTTTGCAAACCGCACCAGCCTTGTGTGTGAATCATGTGGACCCTTTGGCACGGACGACGACCGCACGCCAGGAACGCCCTGTATCCTGTGCACGGACGGGCTGATTGCGCCCAACGGCACGGTTGGCCCCTGCATCTCCAAGGGAAGCGGGGCGAGCGCGTCTACGGGGAGCATGATTGGGGCGATTGTCGGCGCCATTGCAGCCGTTGCGGCGGTGATTGTGCTCATTGTGCTGTACGTTGCCCGGCGCAAGGTGCGGCGTGTCAAGGAGGAGCAGGCGCGTGCGCTGCGCGAGATTCAGCAGAACGCGCGGTCCGAGTTTGAGCGGCTGCTGTCGTCCAAGTACGACGCGCACCAGAAGCGGGAGGCCGCGTCCAGGTTCGACCGCCTGCAGATCCCACGCACGGCGTTCCGGACGGTGCGGGAGCTTGGTGCCGGCGAGTTTGGTGTTGTTGAGCTTGGCGAGATGGAGGGGAAGAACGACCCCGTGGCCATCAAGCGGTTGCACGAGAAGGGCGTGGATGCGGACGAGCAGACCAAGTTCCTGCAGGAGGCGCGGCTCATGGCCATTATGGAGCACAAGAACATTGTGCAGCTGCTTGGCGTGTGCACGCTCGAGCAGCCTTTCCTGATGGTGCTTGAGTACATGTCCAATGGTGACCTGCGCAGCTACCTCAAGCAGCAGGCGCGCGCTCGCACGCACGCACAGCCGGACGTACTGACTGTTGCCGTGATGAACGTGGCCTCCGCCATGCAGTATCTGGAGGAGAAACACATTGTGCACCGCGATCTTGCCGCGCGCAACGTGCTTGTTGGCGACAGCCTGCCCGATGTGAAGCTTGCTGACTTTGGCATGAGCCGGCCCCTGGATGACAAGGAGTACTACCGCAAGCAGAGCAGCGACCGCGTCCCCGTCAAGTGGTGCGTTGTGTGTGTGTGTGTGTGTGTGTGTGTGTGTGTGTGTGTGTGTGTGTGTGTAGTAATATGTGTTCGTGTGTGCATGTGCGTGCGATGAGTGTGTGTGTGTGAAACTTTTTGGGTAGTTGGGGACGGAGGAAAAGAGGAGGAGCATGCTCGAGTGTGTGTAGGGCTCTGCGCTACTCGCCTGTCCACTGTTGATTACGTATTTGTTCTCTCCTCTCACGCTCGCACAACCTCACACAACCTCATGCTCATGCGCACAACTGTTCTCACACGCACACACACACACACACACACACACACACACACACACACACACACACACACACACACACACACACACGAAATCGCACGACAGGATGGCGCCGGAGAGCATCCGCGACAAGACATCGACACACGCGGGCGACGTGTGGAGCTTCGGCGTGCTGTGCTGGGAGGTGTTTTCCTTTGGGCAGACGCCATACCCTGGCTACCGCGCACTGGAGACGATTGTCGCCGTCGCCAGCGGTTACCGCATGCCGCGCCCAGACTACTGCCCGCCGAGCGTGTACAGCGTGGTGGAGGCAACGTGGCTCGCCGACCCGGCAGAGCGACCAAACTTTGCGCTGGTGTGCAAGCTGCTGCAGGACGCGCTTGACAACATTGACGCAACGGAGGTGAGCGCGCCAATGGTCGGCCACTCGACGCTCAAGAGCACGGGCCGGTACAAGGACTGGGAGGCGATTCGCAGGGAGAACGCGGCATATGTCGACGACATCAGCAAGAACCGCACCATGCAGTCAACGCGCCTGGACGAGGCAGACAGGAGGTACCCAGCGCGGCAGGTGGGCGCAGACACGCCACAAACGGTGCCGCACCCGGGCTCCTCGTCTGCGTCGTCAACTTCCAACAGCCGTGGTGGACACACGGGCCCATCATCCATCGCCACAGATGCCCAACAACAGCAGCAGCAAGAGCAGAAGCAGCAGCACGGTGGTGATCGCCGCCCCTTGTCAAGCACAAGCGCAAGCGCAAGCACAAGCAGCCGCAGCCGCGTGCTGAACCTCGGTGGCCCTTCGCTGTGGCAGAGCACCGACACGGATGTTGGCGATGGCGAAGCGGTGGAGGATGAGGGCGGTGACGAGGGTGATCGCGTTGCGTCCAACCCCACGTATTCGCCGAGTGGCGGGATGGGCATTGGTGACGACTTGCACGAGTATGTGCAGCTTGTGACGGGCCAGAAGCTGCCGCCACTCATGGAGCGGCGAGAGGACGGGACGTACCGCCGGGCACAGTCGAAATCGCCCGCCAGCGACGCCGGCAGGGCTGGCGCTGCTGGCATGACGCCAATGTCCTCATCGTCAACAACGACAGCAACACAGGAGACGAGGTTTGATGGGGCGTCGCGTCCAAAGGAGGAGCGTGACTACCTGGAGCCGGTGTCTGCTACCAACGCAGCCAAGGCTGTCAGCGTCAGTGCGAGCGACAAGGGCGCCGAACGCGACTACCTTGAACCTGTGCCTGTGCGCAAGTCCAAGCAAGTGGAGGAACGCGACTACTTGGAGCCTGTGCCTGCGCGCAAGTCCAAGCAAGTGGAGGAACGCGACTACTTGGAGCCTGTGCCCGCGCGCAAGTCCACGCAAGTGGAGGAACGCGACTACTTGGAGCCTGTGCCTGTGCGTGACTCCAAGGAGGGTGCGGCGCCTGCCCACCGCTTGATCAAGCGCGAATCCGGGTCTGTGCTGTATCCTGGAGGAGGTCCAGACAACGAGCAACTGCTGCCGCCTATTGCTGAGCGAACCTCGCTCCAACACCACCACCCTCGCCACCACCATTCCGGCCACCACCACCGCCATCACCAGCAGCAGCGTGAGGAGCCCGAGGAGCCCGAGGAGCGTGATTACTTGGAGCCTGTCACAGACGTCTCACGCCTCCTCTCCACCAGTTCTCGCCAGCACTTTGTTGCTGCTGATGACGATGATGACGGCCACCCCCACCACGAGCAGCGTCACAAACGCGGCGGTGGGCGCGAGGACTCGTATCTTGATCTCATGGCGCCGGAGGTGCGTGAGGTTTCGTCGTCCCATCTCGCCAAGCGCGACGGCGGCGAGGACGAGGGCGAGCAGGCATACCTCGACTTGATGGCGCCAAGCGTGCGGGAGGTGTCGTCCAGCGATGTCTTCAAGGGCAGCGATGCCAGCCATGCAAGTGGCAATGGTGATGGTGGTGGCAGTGATGAGTCTGTCGAGTTTGTTGATGCAAACGGAAAGAAGAAGAAGCTTACAAACGTCGTGGCTGTCTAATCTGGTGTGAGTGTGTGTATGTGAGTGAGTGTGTGTGTGTGTGTGTGTGTGTGTGAGTGTGTGTATTCTTGTGTGTGTGTGTGTGTGTGTGTTGTTCGTATGGGACTTTTTTTTGTGTGTGTGTATCATTTCTCGCCGC